AGATAAGATAAATCGCAACGATCCAAGATACATGACTAATATGTTGATCCTAAATTAATGTAACAAAATAAGGATGAGAATGAAATAGACTGACGGAATGGAAATAAATAATTAAAATAAAATAAGTAAATAAATAAAAATTGAAAGATAAACGAAAATAAAAATAAAAATATAAACAAAAATAGAGGATGACAAGTAAAGAAAATAAAACTAATAACGGACACAAAATCAAATTGATTCACTAGCTCTACCGGCAACTTGTAACTGATAATTGAATAATGGACAAACAGTTAGATTTGTATTAATTTCTCGATTAAGGCTTCGATTTAACTATAAAAGAAGGAAGGTTTGAGGTATTCTTACATTAGATCAGAGTCCATAACACTGAATTATACTGTAGTGGTACCGGATGATGCGGTGGGGGCACCAGACTATACTGTTGTGGTGTTGGATGGTACTGTAGGGGAACAAAGTTGTACTGGGGTGCTTTAGGATCCTCCCGTTACAGGAGTGGCTCAAACTGTGGCAGTGGAAGATGGTCAGGTAGCTCCCTCCTTTCCTCCTGGGCTTGCTGGGTAGTAATGAAGCGAACCCTCCCGAGCTGCTCGGTAGTAATGAAGCGAACCCTCCCGAGCTGCTCGGTTTAGTAGGGGTCATCCTCTCCTCATCTGTAACACCCCAACCCTTTTCTTTTCTTTTATTATTATTATTATTTTATTTTAATTTTTTGAAATTATTATATGAAAATAATGATTTATTATGTAATAATGTATGATTTTAATTTAATTTAATTTATTTAAATAGAAATAATAATAATAATAATAAAAAGGGGTAAAATTATTTAGGGATTTAATTGAAAATAATTTTAGAAAAAATGGGTGAAAATTTGGGTTCTGGGGTATTTTTGAAAAGAAAATTGAAAACCGGAGATCAAAACGCAATTCAGAAAAATTGCACCACATCAACAGCCCGGTCGGTAGTCCCGACCAACCAAGACATGCTGCATGGCAGAGACGCTGACGCAGGAGGCCACACGGAAGGGAGCCACGTGAGCGATCCGCGTGCGCGCGATCGAACAGCTGAGATCCGTTCCCGCGCGCACGAACGGCCCAGATTAAAAACACACACGGATGGCCCAGATTGCACATGCACAGACGGCCCAGATTGAATCGTGCACGGACGGCTCAGATTCATTTCCTATTTAATCGCGATCAGACGGTTCAGATTGAATCGCGATGGATGGTTCAGATTAAAAGCGGATGGTTATAAATAATCTCATCCGCACCCAAACCCTAACCCTAGCCGCCAGAGCCCATCGCCGGAGAAGACAGCCCAGCTGCCGGGGAGCCGACTCCCGTCACCCGCCGCCGCACCGGAGCAATTTCTGACCGCCAAACGAGGTAAAAATTTTCTCATTAGCTCAAAATTCGATGCTGAACCCATCTATGGCCAAATCGGAGCAAAAATATTGGCCAATTGGTCAAAAAATGCCGCTGCGGGTTTTCTCAGTTTTTGCCTCCGATGAAGCCCTTCGCGATTCCCAGTCGATGTAATTTTTCCACCTTTGTGACCGCCGTTCCCTCCTCTACAGGTTGATTGGAGCAAAACACCAAATCGCGATTCGAGCTAGAGGAGCCACTGGTAAGTTTCGGTTTTCGGTGTTTTTTCGGCCCAACGAGGGCCCTATAGGTGTTTTCTCACAAGAATCAATGCAAGTTTGACTGAATTTGACCGAAAACAGTCAGAAATAGCCATCCCGAGGCAGATCACCACTGCGAGCAGTGGCACCGTCGTCGGAGCACGACGGAGCCGCCGTGCCGGAATTCTAAAATTAGCCGAATAGGCATTGGGTCTGATTTTTGAGTTACTTGGGACATGTGTAGGTACCGTAAGCGCGTTTCAGTTCTTGGAAGAAAAATTCAGGGAATCCAGGGACTGCCCGTAGGCACAGTGAAAATCCAATTTTCGACGTCGAATTAGGTAAGGACCCCTCACCCTATTTCCTATCATGGGATTAAAGTTTAATAAATGATACAACTGTATTTGTATAAATTAAATAGATATGCATAATTTATTACGATTGCTAATGGAGCCCGAACCAGATATATTTCTCTGTCAGTTCCTATTTGATTTATGTTACGGTTTAAATGCAGTATGGTATCTGATTTAATTATTCTATGATTTTAAATGCATGAATCATTGCTTACTTCATTCCGTTCTGATTTTGTGAATCTAATGATATACTTGCCT